ACCAGTCAGGTTTTTGCCCCAGAACAGCAGGGTATACGAGACCGTGGAGATTATCCAACTGATAGCGAAGCTGAACCACGTCGAATGCCTCGAGATCGACCGCGAGAAGATGGCAGTTGCAATGATGATAAGGATGCCGAAAAACCCGAATAAATTAAAGGAAATGAAGACGTTGATAAGTTCCAGGCTGTTGCCCTCCTCGTCCTTGACTTGTCCTGTCATAAGTAGTTACATTGATTAATATTGACGTGATACGGCTGCAGAAGTGGAGCACTAACTGGAGACGAGGCCTATCAAGCTCTGCACGGAATCGTCCAACATGTTGGCTTGGGATCGGTGCAAGTTCAACAGCTGAACTGTTCAACGCTGACCGTGCTGTATAGTTCAGGCCTTCAGGTGCGGGAAATGGAAACGAAAGGGAAGGAGAAAAAGAGAACGCAATGGCCAGTCAATGGTGGTGGAATGAAAGGGACACAGTCACAGTTGTCATCACAAGGCGGGGGGCTTTTTGATACATCGGCCTAAGGACAGCCAGAGAAGCACATGACGCAAGCGGGAATCATTCAGTCTGGAGACCAGGGGCGCAGGTTCAAGGCGATCGTTTCGGCGACAACACTGTTGATGGATGATCATTCAAAAAATGGTGGGCTGAAAACCCCTGAAAACAAGGCCTGTCAAGGTTGATATTGAGTTATTACCGCCTATGAATATTGCCCCAGGCGATCAGGCTCCAGTACTCCTGAGCACAAACGCGCAGCTGTGACAATTGGGACAGGGGAAGAAATGCGAAGAGGAAGACAGAAGCTGCGAAAGGTAAGCGATAAGATTAGATTGCAAGATAAAAATACTTCATGAGTCGCGTTGCTGCCGCTGATCCAGGCAAGGAAATGATCTCAACGTATACTGATAGACGGTGGCACTGGAGGCGGATCACTAGTACAATTGTCCGAGAAACCCGATACATAAAGAGTAAAAATGTCTAGGTGATGTGTCATAAGGAATCATGGGTGTCCACCGAAGAATACCGGTTGTGTAGTAGCAGAGGTTTTTCTGTGGTCCGAGTCCCTCGACTTGGATTCCTACGGCACGTCCAAACACGTAGAAGGTCCTATAGCTGATATTACTCTTCACCCCTCGAGATAGAAAGTCGATTGACACTTACCAGCTGACTGCCAAATATCAAGAAGGCTAACACGGGTACTAATTAAACCGATGCTGTGAGTATGAATACGAAGGTAATAAAGATGGCAGCTACGTACATGATGCCAGTATCATATCAAATGCTTGGTCGTGCTTCCAAGTAATGACATACGCCACAGCCACACTGCAATGTTCTTCAGCATCGCAAGCCACCTGTAGAGATTAAACCAGGATTTCGTACCCTAATGCCAGAGCGCCCAGGAGGCTGAAAATCATCACACGGATGACCATCGTAACTGATTGCGAGCTGCCAGACATGATTCCACGATTCTGATACAGCCGAACGCCGATTACGCCTACATAGAATATAGTTGACAGTGTGTTGGAAAAGTTCAAGTTAGTCCAAAAGAGCCACACTCGCCTTGTAACGCAACAATCAGAACAGTGCAGCAAACAACGATCAAAGAGGAAATTTTGGACCTTCGAAGAAAGTAAGGTCAGAATCTGATATACAGCACCGGACTCAGAATCATACAGTAGAGGGTTGCTGGAATCACAGTATGTTTCGTTGGGCGACCTTCGCACCGCGTCCGGGGTGGAGGTTCCGTACTGCAAATTCTGTGAGTGTAACGCTCACCAGCGATCATTCCAATTCTCACCACGAGGGTGCCCAAGAACACTGTTGTCCAAACGATGTATGGGACGATCAAGAGCTGGTGAGTGTTAGGTTGGTGATAGACTGGTAAGGCCACCGAGCTCACCGCTGCAACAGCTCTTGAGTTCGTTCTGAAAGGTGCATTTGCGAGGAGACGGCGTAGATTCAGAAGCATCTGACAGCGATCCAAGTAAGCTGAACGGATATATTTGGCAAGAAAACCATCGGGACACTCACATGGATGATAAGAGCCAGAGTCGTACAACCAGTCCTTAAAACGATGAAACATAGTTAATTACCACGTCTACAGAGGAACGTCGCCGAAAACTAGTAGCAACGAAACTCACAAACTCGGAGCGGTATAAATGAGCCCCATCTGTATCACACATAGTGTGAATTCCGGTTCCGGCCCAGTTCTTTGACCAGCGAAGGCGAGAAGGGTATACGAGATGCAGGAGAATACCCAGGATGCGCCAAAGCTATACCATGTGGAGTATCGCTTCATTTCACGCCCAGTAATCGCTGTGAGAACGATGATCAACAAGCCGCAACCACCAATGAGCTGGAGCGCGATGAAGGCGACAGCAATGCGGTCGTGGATGAGCTCCTGTGCGGTCTCTGGTAATTGAATTTCTAAGGTGGCTTTAGCCGTGATCTAAAGGAGTTTACTCACCCTGGGACCGAGAAAATAGGGCCGATCGTGAAGGATGCATACTAATTGCAATCGTTCGTCAAGAGAGAGTGGTACGCTACGACTTGCGAGCTTGGACGACTTCCCGGAAGTCTGCGGGGTAGGGTAGAAAGAACGAGGCAATGGGAGAGAAGGGAAAGTGAAGAAGGGGTCCTGGTGGCCGTTAGTCGTGTCAAGTCAAGTTGACTGGACCCTCTTGGTGATCTAATTGGGCGCCCGAGCGTCTAAGTCTGTATAGAGACTGAAAGGGGATAGCGCTGTCGTGGATAGATGTCAATGGTCATCATTGGCAGCGGCCGCATGAGTATGTCATTCACGATCATTGATATCGAAATGCAAAGTCGTCAAAGAAAGCCGTACTCTACTTGAGTGCGTTGAGAGGTGGGCTGCTAACACGCGGCTATAAATAGCATATCGTAAATTAAACATGTCTCGAGGAAAGTGATAGATCTTGAGAAGTGTCGAAGCTGTACGATGAGTCAATCTGACTGCCAGCTGAGAGACGTCCAGCGCTCAAGAGGTCTAGAGACCGTCTGATGGACATACTCCTTGATTATATCCCAAATATCAAGAATTCTATGCGTGATGGAGGCGTGGCCAAGATCTCTAGTTGAAGAGGATGGCCAGACGACTAGGCTATGCGCCTTAGCCACCGTTGCGTCAAACTATTCCCCGACATTCGGAGACGCGAAAAGCGCGAGGGTAGGTGTCCGTGTTTTCTGGTGGTACTCAAATGAGACAAGACATAACCGTGATAGGAGGAAGTCGCAGACCTATTCATCTCCATTAGTATCCACCTCGCCAGCTCCTTCCGCAGCTCTCTTTCTTTCGTCCCGTCGGAAGCCTTTCCCAAGCCTCCATCGCTCGTTCACGAGATCTACATGATCAAGCCGATTCCTTCTCAACAAGGGGGTGTACTTGTCCTGGTTCGTGCGTTTGTAGGTGCCACCACCCAACGGAACCAAAAGCTTCGCCGGTAATGTGGGCTCTGCCTCAACTGGTGCGCCGACCTGCCTGGGTGGCGGTAGATGGAAACGCGACGCAGCGGAGAGGAAATGGTCGTTCAACACAGTATACACCTCAGATCTTGCATGTATAGCGTGAAGTTGCTGATATAGGTCCGTTCTGGGATGGCCCCCGTCAGCCGTAGGGTACCCGTTTGTCGTACGCCAATCCAGTTCTGCCTCTGGATAGCCACAATCCCAAAGCATAAGTGGCAGTGCGTCAGCCATCTGGTACTCGGGTTTGCTATCCACTACTTCGGTCGCACCATGCTCCAACCCTTCCTCCACATTCACCAGGGCGGTGACGACAGATGGGTCTTCCTGTCCGTGGCCTACCATGAATAGAACAGCCATAATGTGCCGCACTTGATGGTAAAGGAACGCGCTACCAATAAGGTTGAAGACGTACATCCCCCTGCCTTCGTTATCCACATGTATTGGATCAATTTGGGCATGTATGATCTTCCTTCTGAATACCGTGATCTGCTTCGCCGGATCGAGTTTACACAAGTTACGGAAATCGTGTTCGCCAATGAGGAGGGAGGCAGCAGTGCGCATGCGCTCGATGTCGAGCACGGGTCCTGTGGCAGTGTTGGAGGAGAAAAAGTATTTATAGTGTCTGTAAGAACAAGAGAATCGAGCGGAGAAGTTGTTTGAGACTGGAGACCAAGCGATGATTCGTATGGTGGGCGGAAGGAGGCGGTTCAGGATGGCAAGGTAATCGTGTTCGTATTTTGCTTTCTGAGCGGGTGCGGGTGTGGAGAGACTTGTATTGGTTTGGGGGGCATCCAAATCTTCCTCCCCGAACCCAAATTCGAGCCCTGGAATAGTTTCTTCTTCTAATGTGCCTGAAGGCGAAGGAGTGCGCGTTACTTCTGCCCTCGTACCAGGGAGAACAGGGCTCCTGTCTTCAGCAACAACATCCAGATCACGATCGTCTCCCTCCACATCGGATTCGAGAACACTTCTGACCCATAGAGAGATGACCTGACCTGCGGCACTGACTCCTCGATCTGTCCGACCACATTTCTCCCATCCACACCCTTCAAACCCTCCCACAGGATCGATGAGTCTGGCTTTTACCAGTGCATCGAATAACACCCCTTCAACGGTTGGAAGTGACGTCTTCATATTCTGGAAGGCAAGTCCGCCATATTCCCAGCCAGAGTAACAGAATTTCAACGCGATCTTCCGCCTCGAGTGAGTAGCGAAATGGAAGGCCTTGATGTTTCTTTTAGGGGATGGTGGTCGCTGCTTCGGTCGAGCTTTCTCGTGGTCCAGTGCGGTCAGTCGAGCAATTAGCTCTTCCCGGGTCCAGCTATCGTAGGTAGAGGTGGAAGGAGATGCCATTACGCGTCGATGAATAGTTGGGCTTGGGCGCGGACACCTTGAGAGAAAGCCAATGGTCATACACTGTCAGTGTATTCAGTAGGCCGTGGGGGGACTGATGAGCGTGATCAATAGAGTTGACTCACTCCCATTTACTTATTTTTCCGAAATAAAAAAAAGAGGGCCTAACTGGGAATTGAACCCAGGACCACCTCCAAGCGAACATGATCATTACTCATGTGGAATTCGGAAAATCCCGAAGGAGGTATCATGCTACTAGACCATTAGGCCGATATTTGACGAAAACCAACGTGATAGCCAGAAGGCGTGGAGCATGAGGGAGTCACTGTGAACTTGCAATAAAGAACGGAGGAACGACTAATTGTTTCTTTTCAGGAGAGACAGAGCTTCCTGGCAAGGCGCATGTCGACATGCTATTCGTTCCAGGCTAGGGGGCCTTTGTTACATCTTATCCCGGTCCTCACATTGCAGAGCTGTCAGTCAATTTGAATCAGTCAGGACTGCTAACAATAACTCGTGAGCACACTAGCGTCAAAATATTACAGCGGGTTCAGAAGATAACATATTACACTGGTTTTGGCGATAGAAATGATAATTATTGATACAAAGGGAGCAATTGCGAGTAAGCACAAAAGAAATCGACGACGACAAGCAGAAATAGAGCGGATAGTTTCATCAACCGATCGCCATATCCGTAACCTCCGCAACTTGTGACGCGTCTGCTCGCTGTCCGCCCTTGGGCCGCATCGAGAAGATGACGTCCTTGATCACCTGGGAGATGAGTCCATGCTGCGCCTCGACGGCGATCTTTGTGCTGGACATATAGCACTTAGTCACGGCAGAGGGGCGAAGAAGATGAAAAGTTACCTGTCCCTCACGCTCTTGGCCAGCTGGTTATCTTCCTTCTTCTTCTCCTCTTTCTCCTTTTGCTGAGTCAGAGTAGGTAAGTTCGAGGACGCGAAGGTGGAGAAACGGGACCTTTGCCTTGGACCCAGCACCCTCTTTCTCTTTAAGCGTGGGCACGGCAGCACGCGTCTGACTAACGGAACCCTGTGCCTTCGATAACTTCTGATGTAAATCGGACAACTGAGATACCGAATACGCCCTATTCTACTCCCAAAATCGGTCAGGTGCAGGATCCAGTGGTATCGCAAAAGAACGTACCGATATCAGGGGACTCTGACTGAGGGTGTTTACCCAGTACTTGTTCCACAGCATCGCGAGAAGTTCATTGTCGAGGCTTGATTTGAATATTTCCACATCGACTTGGTAGTACTGGTTAGCGTGCACACCAAAATCCTCGATCTTGCTCAGCGGAATCGACTGGTATTCTGAGGATGATACGTTCGGCGGCGTGTAGTTCTCGGGATAGGTTCGGAAAGCACCAATGTCAACTTTGCCTGCGGAGATGGTGCGGTTCGGATCGATCTAGGAATCGCTGAGTGAAACAATGAGGGTATCAGAACGGATAGACATACGACGACTGCGATGAAGGGATCTTGGAACTTCTGGTTCGTTATTTGTGTGTTGACATCTATGCCAGATAACCAACAGCCGTATCCAGGATGTGAATGGTACCATCCAATCGCGTGTTCTAGTCGGCCAGCCTAAACAGCGACGAACGAAATAGGAATTGGGGCTCCCCGAGAGAAAGGGTTAGGACTTGGAGACTCACCTTCTCACTCCCTTGAATGTACTCCACCATGTACTCGTTCGCCTCAGCAGCCGCGTTCACTCGTGTCTCCGTTCCCTGCACCGGCAGCGCAAACGAATCCATGATCACAATAGTGTTCCCCATAACTTTCCCCTGCATCAGGCCCATGATCTCGTGTGGCACTCCAGACCGCGCGTGTATCACCTGTAACGATCGTTCATCTTAACGAGAGTGGCGCGTGTTTAGAAACTGAGCGATATACCATCTTGATGAGCGCGACTGCCGAGATCTTGCATGACTTGAAGTAATGTGGGCTTCATTAAGTCATTCAGACTTCGGATTAGTGAGGAGACTGTAGGATCTAGACGCACTCCTTCGTCCAGGGTGCTTCCTGATTGATTCGTCTATTTTCCTCTGCATCGAAACGAAATATCTCGTCATGAGGGGATATTTCGCTAATTTTGTTGGCAAGAGAGAATGTCTGATGTGCCGTACTGGACGACATCGAGGTACAACTTCACCCTTGGGATGTCTCGACTCTCAAGTCGTCGTACAAGGAGGAAAGTGTTTGTGCGGGTTGTGGAGCAGCTCGAGTTGGAACACAAGACCAAACACGCCTGGCTGGTCCCGGTCAAATTCGAACTTCAGCTTGGAAGTTGGAAGTCAGGTCATCCCAGGGTCATCCACTGGATGACTTGAGGCTACCGTGACTTTTACTGGACTTTACATGCTTTTATACCTCGAGAACTGTGAGCGGTGCTTCAAGATTCCGGTGAACCATTGACCGCCTCAAACCATGCCTCGTACATCGCTTCATACCTCAAAAAATCTGCCGCCCTTGCGAGCCCCGATAATGCACTCGTCACAACCCCCACATATGTGACATACATTCGGGAAGCTTCTGCCAGCCCACAGCCTCAATCCTCGCCATCCACTCGAGACTTCCGTAACCTCACCTCATGTACCTCAGGATCGACCATATAATCATAAAGATCAGGTATCCGCGCATTACTCTGTTGGATGCGTGCGGTTCAAGAAGCGGGCAGCCTGCAGGTCCAGCGAAATATTCTCCCATCAAATCGAGTCCTGAACTTGAAGGTGTGGTGGGTTCGTCCTCGTCACACCTAGAGCACCATACACCTGTTTGTATGGAAGAACAGACGACAGAAAGTATACGTCATAGTATACTCAGCATTTAACAACGCGGGTTAAAGGTTGCGACCTTGCCAACGACAACACCTGCAAGCGCGTTTCAGGGGGTCACTTGCTATGTGAGGTGTAAAACGGCCTTCAGAAGGCGGACTTGGCACAACCCGCACTCGTCTCTCAGTCGGGATGTCCAGATGGATTGGCGAAAAGAACATGAATTACTGGAACGGCTTGCGGACCCAAAATATGTAGTTAGAATCCGTTGCACCCCATGCGCCACGGGGAGCAAGGTGCCATTTTCCTTGGAGGGGATGGTAGATTAACCCGCGCACCTCCGCTTCCGTGCGAGGCGGAGAAGCGGGCGAGGATCCAGACGATATCCATGCTTTCGGTAGAGTAGAGTGCTCGAGATATTGTGGGTCCAGCGAATTACTGGACGGCGACCGGTACTTTTGGAAGAAGGATACGAGCTCCGTGGGCTTGATGAATTTAGAATAGGTGTGTGTGCCGCGCGAGACTTTGCGTAAAAGATCCTCTCCAAGGAAGATGTTGATGAAATAGGCAAGGGGTGTTCGGGATATTGTCGAAAGGAAGAGGTGGCCTCCAGGCTGATGAAACGCGCGTCAAATTCCTGGATCGCGAAGCCCGACACTGTCTAACTCACCTTCACCAACTCAGCACACGTGGAAAGGAAAGAAGCAGGGTTGTCGACGTGTTCAAGTACCTCCATCGAACAGACTACATCGTACCGTTTTGGCGACTCTAGAAGCGACTCGGCTGGCGCGTTGATGTAGGACAAACGTTCAAGTTTCGGGTCGGCAGATGCATGAAGCATTGCTATGTTGATGTTCGACTTTGAGGCATCGATTCCCAGAGTGTTGGCCCCGAGACGCGTAAGGCTCTGTGAGTCATGTCAAGGTAAACGATTACACCATATGCATTCATACGCACCTCGGACAAGAGACCGCCTCCACAACCGACATCCAGGACGTCCAAATCGCGCAGGCCTTGCGACGATGCCATTTCCATTGCCTCCTCTCCATTCTCACGAGAAACTTCCAGCAGCTTGTCCCGAATGAATTGGACGCGAACGGGATTCATTCGGTGCAAAAAGCGGAACTCTCCTTGCTCATCCCACCATTCCGACGACAGACGCGAGAAAAAGGCTATCTCGGACGCATTTATCGTTTCGCGGCCTGCTGAAGAATGTAGTTGACGGTTTAGAGAGCGGAGGACATTCGAGAGGCGCATGTTAATGACAAGTTGAAGGCCCATTGGTTTGGCGTCCAATATTCAATAGGCGATCAAATAGCGATCATTTCAAATTTGCTCCCGCCTACTTGCAGCTGCGACGACGACATAGTCCACCGTGTCCTCTGGCCAGACCTCAACCTCTTTTTATCCTGACGATGCACTGCTACACCTTACGCTTCAAGAAAAAACTGCTCTTGATCCATGACGCGTCAATGCCGATAGCCTTCTGGTTTACACTTAGACATCTTTCGGGCCACTCTACCACGGAGTAAGTACTAGAGCCTGGTCGTGATGTCTTGATCTATTAGCATCAACAATAGCTAGCATCTATCAGCGCGACCATGGTTTTGTGCAGTGAGCGCCTGTTCTTGCATGTTATTTCAATTGAATTCCATTGCCCTCATATGCTCAGGTGTTCAATCTGTTTGTGCCAGATTTATGACGGGCGGGCATCGTAAGCTTGATAGTTTCATTCTTCCAAGGAATGTGTTTCTCTTTACAATGGGTATTGACCGTACCTTGGAGGTTGCCCTCGCAGGGAAACGAAAATGACGGAATACACGGATCCTGAGGAAGACATCGTAATGGCAGCCAAGTCGATAGCGACGATCCTTTATAATCTTCCCATTGACAAGCAGTCGGAAGGCTGGAGTCCTTAATGAATGCCAAGGAGATGCCGACTGCCAGAAATCCCGTCTGCGGTCTACTAGCAGCGCGACCCCGAAGATCACTCAAGTAGATGTATGAAGCGAGCCTTTATTTGGCAATGAGCGTTATTTGCCAAACCCTCTCTCAACCTTGTCTCAACACTCTCTGAAATTAAATTGCCATGAAGCTGAGCTCAGCTAGCGATTTCTTTTACAGAGTCTAACAGTCGTGGTGCGCGTAGTCCAAGTCTCTTCTTGTGAGAATGTAGTAATAATGGGTTGGATACGGCGGACGGAGGTCTGGCTACAGCTATATATGAAGGTCTCGTGCAGGAAGGATACAATGATACTAGTTATTCGTGTCTGGGTAAGAAGAGGTACCGGGGAAAACAAAATCCAAAGTCGTCCCGTGCTGCTCAGGTCAATGTATAACGACAGTCGTGTCCGATATGTCCGATGCTACAATAGTCCGTTCGCCAAAGACAAAACACAAGTCGGTGCGGTGTCACGATAGAGCATCGTATGCTCTCTAAGGTGACTTGTTCGCGTCGCAATGTCCAGCTTCT